GTTACTAACGACTAAATAATTACAGGACCACGTTTTAGTCTGAACAATATTAGGGTCGAGTCATGTCCTACTTAAAAAGTAAGGGGAGGGGGGGGGGATTGTGTCTCTTAAGAAATCAATTTAGTGACTCGCTTTGGAATCCAACTTTTGAACTCTTATGACATTTGATGTCATTGGTAAAGACTAAGCATATTAGAAGTTGAACTAGTTTTGAGATAGACGATCTCTTGCAATGCTGCATCTATAAATAAATTCTTGGAGGTAGTTCTATCCATGTCTAAAGCTATTCTTCTCAAATATTTTGAATTAGTAATTTTGAGATCTGTGTGTTTTAGTTTTGACTTGTGACCTTTTGAAATGCAAGACGTAAAACATATTGGTTCTTGTGATTTTTCTGTTGAGATTGTTTAGTTCTTTCAACTTTCGATACTGTTATGTGTATATATGTTGTTGTATGTGTATTATTTGCACCACAAATCTTTCCCGGGAAAAACAGCTTGGGCAAATGTTAATGCATCTTTAAGCTCAAAAAAAATCTTTTAATGTCTAATAAATTGTCATTCAGTGAGAGTATTTATTATAATAGAGCAATTGTCTTTATCACAATTAGAGAGTCAAGTCTATATGACCCATTTCGTCGTAGGAGTTCTTTACAGAAAATTAAGCTCAACTGTAGGAGTTCTTTTACTGAAAATTAAGCTCATCTGTATTTTGTCCTTTTACTTTTGGTGTAAAGAATTTTGCGTAGTTGAAACTGAGACTTTATTAGAGTCCTTGTAAGAAGAATCTTGGACAGATGTAAATAGGTCTCTTCCTTCTTTTTTTTTTTTGGTAATTGTGATTTCCAACACAAGCTTTGTGTTGATGAATATACTGTTACCTTTATCAGAAAAAGGTCTATATGATCCATTTCCACAATTTGCGTTCAGTAGGGCAGATATATGTCCAATACAATTCTATCTTAATGTGTGTTATTTCCTTTGCATGATTATCTGAGAATGCTAATCCATTGGCAAGGCTTACCTTCGGCTTTTGTCAAATACTGCACATTGGTGTGTCTTCGACGACATCTATATTTGTAAATTTGCATGGATTATGACATATTGTGGGTTTTCGCTATGTTGGCCTATTGTTTTTATTGCATTTACAACTAAGTTCCTCATGTTTTACTCCTCATGCAGTGGTCCTCTTTCCTGGATTGTGAAGGTAGAGTCACAGACTCGGAAGCAGTAAGAAAGAGGATATTTTACGGAGGAGTCGAACAAGGTCTACGTAAAGAGGTCTGTCCTTGTACAGGTCAACCCCACTCTTCGTCCGTCTCTATGAGCATGAATATACTTATATGTCCTTATGGCAGGTGTGGCGATTTCTGTTGGGATATCATTCATATGATTCAACTTATGCGGAGAGGGAATACCTTGTGTCTGTCAGAAAGTCGGAATACGAAACGATAAAAAACCAGTGGAAGGTTTGTCATATTCTCACTGTGGGGGAGGGGTTTCAAAAGTAAAATGGTCCTGATTCCTTATTTAGTCAATCTTTATTGATGTCCTCCTTCAATTAGTAAAATGCTGTTTCTTAGAACGTATGAGTGTGCGATAGTTTAAATTTTAGATCACATTAGGTGCAATAAGATCCTTTTCTTCTTACATTTGTTTTGTTGCTCTTGTAAGTTTAAGGTCTCCGACACTTGCCTTTTTGATATTTGAGGGTTCGCCTTTCATTTTGCAAAATACAGATTGCTTATTAAGACTGATTTCCATGTTGATGCTGCCATAACCTGGTTTACTAATGGATATAGTGATTGATCATAGTTAATTAAGAATGAACACAATTATAAGTGTTGCTGGAGATTAAAATACTTTCTGACGCTTTTCTTATGGGAGACTCCAAACAGATCATCCAGGATCTTGGAAAAAGTTGATTCCCCGGAACTTTGTTCCGGGAGTTCATTCAATAATGTGAAATCCTAGTTTCATGTGAAGGATCAGATGAATTAAATCATTTATCTTTTAGATATGATTTTTCATGTGGGAAGTATATCCCTATGTTTTCCTATTGTCCAGGAGGAGCCAAGACAAGAAAGTCTCTTTCAGATATCTTTTGCTAAAAAATTAGTTTCCAATCTTATCTGCGCTGACCTTCTCTCTGCAGAGCATCTCTAAGGAGCAGGCTAGAAGATTTACAAAATTTCGAGAGAGGAAAGGCCTTATTGAAAAAGATGTGGTATGTGTCAAATTTATCTATTTTCACGGGCCTGTAAATGTTTTTTGTTTGAGAACCTAGATGCTCTTTTCATCCTTGCAATTCACAATCAGTGATACTACTAAAACTACTATTATTGGTTATTATTATGTTTATTATAAGGGGAAAAACTGATATTTTATTCTTCTTTCTTCCATTGTTCTTTCTTATTTGATCTGCAAGGTGAGGACTGATCGGTCAATTTCATTCTATGATGAGGATGACAGCCCAAACATTAAATATTTGCGTGATATACTGCTGACTTACTCATTCTACAACTTTGATTTGGGTTACTGTCAGGTAACATCTTCCTATAAGCNCCTCCACTAGACTATGAAAAACCTTGATAAATAATCCTTGGGCGAGCTTGACTTTATATAGGTTAAGTGGGGTTTCCTCTAGATTTCCAATTATACCCCTGACAAACGATTTTCGAAATTTGGACTAGCGCGGTCGCGCATATGGGCGCGCATCTGACCGCGCTAGTTGGCAGATGTTCTGTTCAGGGCGCGCTAAAATTAGCGCGGGCGCGCATCTGGGCGCGCTAGCCCAGTACTTTGTTTCCTCACTTCTTTTTCTCGTCTTCAAGTGTACTCATCTCCGAAGGGTCTTTCTTGCTCCAAAATAGTTCCAATCACAACTTTAAGGCATCACGTAGGCTCCTCATCCTGCAATGTATACAATTCACAATTAGAGCCCATTTTTAATCAATTAACCATATTATGACATTGGAATTTAACTAAGCGGGAGCATAAACAATCGCCAAATTACCTATTTTTAGCCTATTATCAACACCCCACACTTAATTCATTGCTAGTCCTCGAGCAATCACCCTATACTCTCTAGAGGTTCCTTCACTCAACCATATCCCCTAACGCATTACACCCAGAACAATTTACATACATTACGCCTAGCAGTGAACAATCCTAGCCTCAAAAGTCGACTCTCAAATGCCATGCAATATTCATACTTCCTCAAAGTACTCTACATAGAAGTCAAGACTTGCCTTTCCTTCACGAATCACATGCCCTCACAATCACAGTAAGGGGAATAAAATCAATCCGCACATTTGAGTCTCATGCTCACATATATCAAAGAAAATCGCTCACCCTCACAAAGAGTCACATGCATGCAATTGGTACCATAAGCTTGCCCTTAATGTAAATCTCTACTAATGTAGGCTCACTCGATTTAAAATCAATTAGGACTTTTTCATGGTTGTAATGTGGGCTAAGGGACGGGTAGGATATATTTAGGAATAGTGGTTCACCCTCCTAAGCACTTTAACACATCACATAATCACTTTGAACGCAAATTCTTCAATCCCAACTTCAATTTCACAACTAAAATCACTCCCAACAATGTTCCCTCTTTCTTTAAGCACCACTTTAATTTATACCCCACTAGCAAGAACACGCCAACAATTTATTCACCTATATTTTTTTTTCAATTTCCGCTAGTGGTGTATTATTCTACAAAACAAGTGCACCTTTCTCCCTTTTATTGGTTCCACTCAAAAGTCACCCCACACTTAGTTCCTTCTTACTCCTTTTAGCGCTCATCTCACAATTAAAGTGCTTTAAGAGGTAAAAGGATCAAAACAATATCAATTAAGAACAAAAAGGGTATAGGCTTGTAATATGGGTACCAAATAAAAATCTATAGGCTCAAAAGAGTTGACTAGGGATAAATTTTATTTGTGGTAAGCAATGAAGCTCAAAAAGATCAAAGAAAGCCTAAAATCATTTTTCACATCGAGCATCACCTAAAATTTCGCTTCAACTCACATACCGGGCAAGTTCTAGACTCAAGTACAAAGCATGGACTACACAAAAACCTCACCACACATGGCATATGACTCATTCCAGATCAGCTCATCAAGACGCTCCACTACGAGCATTCAATTCAGTACAAACATACAAATTAAGGCACTTTAGTGAGATTCAACAAATAAGACTAAGCGTTACACTATAGGGTCTATTGTGTTCAGGTGTGTCAACGCTATGGGTTCTCTCTTGATTTTCTAGCTCGTAGCCCATTAACCTACTCTACAAATCAAAAAGAAAACAAAATAAAAAAACTACCTATACCCGGTTCAAGTTAAAACCCTTGGAAAAGAACCATGGCCCAAAGAAAAACCAAGGGGGAGTTGTTACACTATCTAAAAAAAATAAAAAATCTTTTTGGTGTTTTCTCTAGACTAACTTCCCTCGAGAAAATTATCTAAAAGATCTGTCATCAGGAAGAGTCTACATATTTTCCAAATGTTTTTTTTCTTTTCGACTTAATCCCTCAAGAATCCCGCCGAAAGGGATCCGTCATTGGGACGAGCCACTTATTTACTTTAAACTAATGATTCCTACTTAACACCAAAACTATCAAAGTCAAATAAAACAAAACAAAGACAACATTCAAATGATACAACTACATATATACAATGAAGTACCCCCACCCCACACTTAAAATGAAGACATGTCCCCATTGCTTAAAATTTGAAAGAGCAGTGAGGTGAAGGAACTTCCCTGAAGTGTCACTCCTGGTCGGAGACAGTGTCTGGGTTGATGCACGCACGACCCAGAGCTCGCAGCCAGCCCATGAATTTCTTTTCCGACTTCACTTGTCGGTCAGCTACCGCGTCTACTCGGGTGCCCAAATCAGTCATAGATGTTCGCAAACCAGCCATCTCCTGCTCCAAAGCAGTGAAACGGGACACCCGGGCAGCTCCTGAAGATGGCGCAGACCCAGATGGTCCTGCAGCTGCTACACCTTGCTCCTGAGCCTGTGGTGCGGTCTCCACGTTCTCCTCAGTATCCTCCTCATCATCAGAATCATCAGAGCTACTACTCGCTGCCGCCTCTACTACTTCCGGCTCCTTGCCCGTGGTCACCTTATCAGCACGGAACTTGCCCTCCTTTCTTACCAACCCATCCACAGCTAGATTTTTGGGTACCCGAGCATCCCTGCATAGTTGAGTCACTAAAGAGGGGAAAAAGAACCCATACCTTTTGACTTGACTTCGGACGAATATCTCGTCATGCATCACTTTGGCCACATCGAAGTCGTAACCATTCACAAAGCACCAAATCAAGGCAGCTCGGGGCCCATTTACCTCTGTACTATTGTGAGACGGAATCAAGCGGTTGTTGATGAGGTGCAACCAGCACTTCCCTTCAAAGGTGAGTACTGAGGAGTGGAATTTCTCCCCATAGTCCATCCAGACCACTTCTTTCCCGGGCACACAAATTGTCTTAAAAAATCGCGCCCATTTTTCGTCGTTCATTGGGTGGAGGCCGTACTCATAAAAGTAATCACCAGCATCCGGAGGTGGAGGCAGCTGGTAGGCTGTCCGTATTGCCTCAACAGAAGCATTCACCGCCCTTCGACGCACCGTGACTACTCCATTAACATGCTCCGATACATTGGCATAGAACTCCCGCACAACCATTGCATTGCCCTCACCGGGCTCATCGATGAAGGTTTACAACCCTCGCCGCACCAACTCATTGTACATGTGCGGGCAGTGGTGCTGGAGCCAACCGACGTGAATACCCCTCTCCGGAATTGGCTTTCTACGATCCTTTTTCGTAAAGCGGTCCTGAGCTTTGGCCGAAACAAATTTTGTAGCATCAAAGGAACGTGCAGGTGCAGCCCCTCGTGACCTAGCTGAACCAGCCTGGCTGCTCGATGAGGCCCCTGTGGCTTGTCGTTTCCTTCGTGGAGCCATGATACCTCGTTTGATGGCCCTAACACTTGCCCATTGTCACCTGCATTGGTTAGCACTTCCTAAAACACAAAATTAACAACTACTGCTATCGTTGGGTTGCCTCCCAACCAGCGCCTTATTTAACGTCGTGGCACGACGTTTACAACAATTCAATGGGTTGCCTCCCATCCAGCGCCTGATTTAACGTCGCGGCACGACGCAAAGTCTCGCTTACTCATCAGCGAGTACAACCTTGGTCTTTTCACGATTAATCATTCCTCCCCAATAATGCTTGACTCTATGACCATTCACCAAGAATTTTCTCTCACCATTTAAAGCTCGCAGCTCGATTGCACCATAAGGAGTGAATCTCACCACCTCAAAAGGACCTGACCATCTCGACTTTAGCTTCCCAGGGAACAGCCGTAGTCTAGAGTTGAATAACAATACCTGTTGGCCTGGCTCAAAGTGACGTGGATTGATATGCTTGTCATGCCATCGTTTTGTCTTTTCTTTATATAGCTTGGCATTTTCATAAGAGTGCAACCTGAACTCGTCTAACTCATTCAACTGCATAAGTCTTTTCTCACCTGCGGTTTCAAGGTCCATGTTCAGATTCTTAATGGCCCAGTATGCTTTGTGTTCAAGCTCGACGGGCAAGTGGCAGGCCTTCCCATAAACCAGCTTGTAAGGGGACGCTTGGCGTTATATATGCGGTCCTATATGCCCATAGGGCATCATCCAACTTTGCAGCCCAATCCTTCCTATTCACACTCACCGTCTTCTCTAATATTTGCTTGATTTCTCTGTGTGAAACCTCAGCTTGCCCACTTGTCTGCGGATGATATGCTGTAGCAACTCTGTGGCGAACTCCATATTTAGCAAGAAGGTTATTCAACAATCGATTGCAAAAATGAGTCCCTTCATCACTGATTAAGGCCCGTGGAGTCCCAAATCTCGAGAATATGTTCTTTTTCACAAAAGCAGCTACCACCATGACATCATTGGTTGGCAAAGCAATTGCCTCCACCCATTTTGACACGTAGTCAACGGCTAGCAAAATGTATTGTTTCCTCTGGACGGTGGAAATGGCCCCATAAAATCTATCCCCCACACATCAAAAAGCTCAACTTATAGAATATTATTTAAAGGCATCTCATGCTTCCTTGTGATTGTTCCCGTTCTCTGACATTAGTCACACTTCTTAACGAATGCATAGGCATCCTTGAATAAGGTTGGCCAAAAGAGACCGGATTGTAACACCTTTGCAGTTGTTCTATCTCCTCCATGATGGCCCCCATAAGGTGATGCGTGACAATCATACAACACGAATGCCACCTCTTTTTCAGGAATGCATCTCCTCATCAACTGATCAGCACATTGCTTGAACAAATAGGGCTCATCCCAGTAATAGAAGTTTACATCATGTAAGAACCGCTTTCTAGCTTCAGATTGGATTTCGGGAGGGAGTACTCCACTCACAAGATAATTCACATAGTCTGCATACCATGGGGGAGGGTCTTGGGTTATAGCAAAAAGTTGCTCATCAGGAAACACCTCTTTAATTTGGCCACCCTCCTCCACGTGATCGTGATTTTCCAACCTTGATAGATGGTCAGCTACTTGGTTCTCTGTCCCCTTTCGATCTCGTATTTCTACATCAAATTCCTGCAGCAACAAAACCCAGCGCATCAAACGAGCTTTGGATTCCTTTTTTGTAAACAAATACCTGACCGCTGCATGATCCGTATAGACTATGACTTTCGTTCCCACCAAGTATGCCCGGAATTTCTCAAAGTCCCACACAACGGCTAACAACTCCTTCTCAGTGGTGGTGTAATTCAGTTGTGCATCATCAAGAGTCTTACTCGCATAGTAGATGGAATAAAACATCTTGTCCTTCCTCTGGCCTAGCACTGCCCCAATAGCAAGGTCACTCGCATCACACATAAGTTCAAATGGTAGAGACCAATCAGGTGCCACAATAATGGGGGCAGTCACCAACTTCTTTTTAAGTTCCTCAAATGCGTCGAGGCAAGCATCATCAAAATTGAAAGTGACATCTTTTTCAAGCAGCCTGCACAAAGGAGTATCAATTTTTGAAAAATCTTTAATAAAGCGCCGATAGAAACCCGCATGTCCCAAGAAACTCCGGACAACCTTCACTGAGATAGGTGGAGGTAATTTTGCAACCGCCTCCACCTTCGCTTTATCAACTTCAATGCCGCTCCTAGATACTCTGTGACCCAGCACGATGCCTTCTTGTACCATAAAATAGCACTTTTTCCAATTTAATACCAGATTTGTTTCTTCACAACGGGCCAGCACCTTGCTTAAATTCCTCAAGCAATCATCATAAGAAGACCCAAAAACTGAAAAATCATCCATAAACACTTCCACGAATTTTTCCACCATGTCGGTGAAAATAGCCATCATGCATCTCTGGAATGTGGCTGCTGCATTACAAAGACCAAATGGCATTCGCTTGAAGGCAAAAGTGCCATAAGGACAAGTAAAAGTAGTCTTCTCCTGATCCTCTGGGCATATGACAATCTGATTGTATCCTGAATAACCATCAAGGAAGCAGTAATATTCATGCCCGGCTAACCTGTCTAGCATTTGATCGATGAATGGGAGTGGGAAGTGATCCTTGCGAGTTGCCTTATTGAGCCTTTTGTAATCAATGCAGACTCTCCAGCCCGTAACAGTGCGAGTGGGGATTAGCTCATTCTTCTCGTTCTCAACTACCGTCATTCCTCCCTTTTTGGGCACACATTGAACCGGGCTTACCCAGTTGCTATCAGAAATAGGAAAAATGATACCTGCATCGAGCAACTTGATTACTTCCTTTTTCACCACCTCTTTCATAATGGGATTTAATCTCCTTTGCTGCTCTACACTGGGGCGGTGTCCGTCCTCTAGAAAGATTTTATGCATGCAAAACGATGGACTAATACCCTTGATGTCAGCTATAGTCCACCCAATGGCCCTTTTGTGCTCGCGGAGGACCCTGAGCAATTTTTCTTCTTGAGTGCTGGTCAAGCTGGATGAAATAATCACGGGCAGGGTCTCTGAGTTCCCCAAATAAGCATAGCGCAGATGCGCTGGAAGTGGCTTGAGTTCTAGCTTCGGAGCTTCTTCAATAGATGGCCTGGGGAGGGTCAGAGTGACAGGCCTGTCCAACTCTTCAAATTTTCTAACCCCATGTACATAACTGCATGACATATCCAGCACTTGCTCAATTTCTCCCATCCTTTCATCTTCACTATTTTCTACGTCCCCAATCAATACTCGTTCAACAGGATCTGCAGGGCTCATATAGGGTACTAACGATGTGGCATTACCTTCCACCACAGAGATCATGGATAACTCTTCATAATGGGCTGGTAACTTGAGTGCTCTATAAACATTGAAGACCTCCGCTCGGTCACCCACTCTCATCGTCATCTTTCCTTCACAAACATCAATAATAGCTCGGCCCGTGGCTAAGAATGGACGCCCCAAAATAAATGGGACTTCCTGATCAGGCTCGTAATCCAGGATGATGAAATCAGCTGGGAATATGAAAGACCCACTTGCACTAGCACATCTTCAATCACTCCCTCCAGATGAGCAAGGGAGCGGTCAGCTAACTGTAAGATAACTGTTGTTGGGCGTGGTTCACCCAACCCCAACTGTCTGAATATAGATAGCGGCATCAAATTGATGCTTGCTCCAAGGTCACATAGAGCTCGCCCAACAGCATGTTTGCCAATCCCTGACAAACGGTTTCCGAAATTTGGACTAGCGCGGTCGCGCATATGGGCGCGCATCTGACCGCGCTAGTTGGCAGATGTTCTGTTCAGGGCGCGCTAAAATTAGCGCGGGCGCGCATCTGGGCGCGCTAGCCCAGTACTTTGTTTCCTCACTTCTTTTTCTCGTCTTCAAGTGTACTCATCTCCGAAGGGTCTTTCTTGCTCCAAAATAGTTCCAATCACAACTTTAAGACATCACGTAGGCTCCTCATCCTGCAATGTATACAATTCACAATTAGAGCCCATTTTTAATCAATTAACCATATTATGACATTGGAATTTAACTAAGCGGGAGCATAAACAATCGCCAAATTACCTATTTTTAGCCTATTATCAATATACATTTCTCACAAAAAAAAAAAAAATACATTGACATAAGAAAGGCGTCAGTATTACCGAGTCATTGTCAAGTCAATACAAGACAATTTTACATTTCTCCCTCCCCATTTACATGGCATCGTTCGATTTGGCAGTTAGTTTTTTTAAAAAGAAAATTGAAACTTGTGTTTTCAAACAAACCTTACACATTTGTGTAGTAATAAATTATCTCATCAAGGATAAAATAAAAGTTTTAAGATTAAATTATATCTAAATTATAAAGGTGCCATTTTTGTTAATGAGCACGAATTGTGAAAGACGACAAGTTGAAACAGATCATGAGATTAGCTTGGAGACTTCATTCACATAAAAGATGGCAATGGCCAATATCACAAACAAGGGAGACAACAATGGGTGTTAGGGTTTTGTGTCGTCAAAGTTGCACGAAGTAGGAGGAGAAAAGAGAGTATAAACTATCCCGGGATTTCATCTTCGAGGAAACGTATGGTCTTTTTATATGATTTCGAGCAAATCACATCATGAACTATCTTTTAAAATTGAGTCGGACTCATTCTGATTCTTGATTTGCCTAATATTGGCGAACCATATTATATTATTCATGAAACAAATTGAGTTCTGAGCGTGCGGGGAATAAGAAATGGTCCATAATTGGCTTAATGCAGTTCGAGCTGACTACATTTTTTTTTCCATCTCTTAATTATAAGTAGGTCTTCAAAAATAATTATGAATGATACAATACCATGAGAACAACAATATAAATAGTGTTCCACTCAAGCTTGTCTGGTGGAATTATTATTATTATTTATTTATTTTTTTCAACTGGCAAGGCGCACTCATAGATTTTACAAGAAAATGACATCTTAATTTATTGGATAATCCAAAAAGTAAAAATTTGTCATCATCTTTGAGGTTGTAATAGTCCTCCCCCCCCCCCCCCCCCCAACCACCCCACACACACACTCTTATATCGAATCAACGTAAAAGTTAAACATAATTCATACTTTAATGGCTTCGTCCAATATTTGTTTAGAATAGTATGGCATAATTTACAAATTAATTAACTTTCATCACCAGAAATTGTGATTGATCTTTGACATTATGATATGATCATTTCTTCTATAATGGACTTTGCTGAAATTGACTATTAACATAGTAAACATCAATCAACCTGCAGTTAATTATACATTTGTACTTTAAGGGATTGTTATTTTACCTTGAACAATGGTATCTCAATCACAAATTTGATCACAAGAAACTGAGATTTTGATTTTGACATTATGATATGATCATTTCCTACGTAATTATAATTTACCATATATAACTGAGAGATTAAGACCGTAATCTTGTATTTATCTTATTTATACCAATGTAATCAAAGCTAACACCTAGTGAACATCAACGTACTAAATAAATATAAATTCATACTTTAAAGTCTAACTTTTGCCATGAATGATGATATAACAATTACAAACAACTTTAGTCAGAAGAAATTGTGATTGATCTTGACAATATGATCTGAGCATTTCTCCCACATATTTGTGTCATAATAATTGCTCATTCCATCTCATATTATGTGAGAATATTTGATTGGACATGGAGTTTAAAAATTTTAAAGAAGATTTTTAATATGTAAGACAAACATATATTAGAATACAAAAAATATCCTTTTAAATAAGTAGTGGTGAGAGTTGAAATATCCTTTTATTTTCTCTCTCCTTATAATAAGATGAATGTTATATCGCGTGAGATTTCAACAAGTCTTAGCATTAAAGGTAAAATTAGAATTATGAGATTAAATAAAAAAATATTACAAAAGAAAAGTGTCACATAAAATGAGACATAAGGAGTACTAAAAGAACGGATGAATTCTTGTTATATAGAGTTTTTTCCCCCCTAAATTTGTCACACCATTTTGTATGAAGTATGAAAAGTAATTATGAAGGATAAAAGAATAGCTTTTTGCTCCTTCTGTGCTTTACCTTTTCAATTTTGTTTCATGTAACAACATTATTTCCTTCTGCTGGCAATTTTCCATATATATATATATATATATATAATGAAATTAAGCAACTATTTTTGCACGAAAAATGGTTGCATCACGACGTGGATGAATGTATTATTTCCCACCATTTTCCTTCATCGCAAGTCCATGGCATAACTAAGATGCTGGCAATTAGAAATTGGAATTTTATTATAATCATAATAACACATGAATTTCCAGCTGAAATTCCGAAAATTCAGCTTTATTGGTACAAAAAAGTCTGAAACTATATAGAAAATCTAAGATAAAAAAAAAGAATCATATACAATAACATTTTAATACTATTATCTACTTCAACAAGTTAGCTAAAGCCATGGCCAAGAAAGTGACTGGCAATGTTGCAAGAGCCAAAGATGGTGCAGCAGCATTTGGTGGAGGCGGAGGTATAACCGGAGACTCGATCGATGGCATAGACGGCATGGCAGAAGATGGAGGTGTAGGGGCAGAGGGGATACTAGATGGTGGAATGACACTAGGGGAAGGCAGAGGCGTAACTGGAGAATCGGCCAATGGCGTCGATGGAATCGCAGCGGGAGATGGTGAGTTAATAATGGATAAAGGTGTTGGGGCAGAAGGACTCCTAGATGGTGTAGGTACAGGTGCTAGAGTTGCCACTGGTGAAGGAGCAGATATTGGGGTGGTTGTTGTTGCAGTAGTAGGGTTTGCAGGAGCAGATACTGGAGTGGTTGTTGGAGGAATAGTACGCTTGGCTCTTGGTGGAGTAGCTGGGGTGGCAGTAGAAGATATTGGGGTGGCTCTTGGTGGCTTAGTAGGGGTGGTCGGAGCAGATACTGGTGCGACTCTTGGTGGAGTAGTGGGGGTGACAGTAGCGGATACTGGGGTAGCTGTTGGTGGAATAGTAGGGTTGGCAGGAGCAGATACTGGAGTGGTTGTTGGTGGAATAGAGCGCCTGGCTCTTGGTGGAGTAGCTGGGGTGGCAGGAGCAGATATTGGGTTGGCTCTTGGTTGTTTAGTAGGGGTGGATGTTGGTGGAGTAGTGGGGTTGACAGGAGCAGATACTGGTACGACTTTTGGTAGAGTAGTAGACGTGCCTCTTGGCGAAATAGTTGGTGCGACAGGAGCTGATATTGGAGTGGTTGTTGGTGGAATAGTACGCTTGGCTCTTGGTGGAGTAGCCGGGGTGGCAGGAGCAGATATTGGGGTCGTTCTTGGTGGCTTAGTAGGGGTGGCTGGAGTAGATACTGGGGTGGATGTTGGTGGAGTAGTGGGGTTGACAGGAGGAGATACAGGTGCGGCTCTTGGTGGAGTAGTAGACATGCCTCTTGGTGGAATAGCAGGGGTGACAGGAGCGGATACCGGGGTGGCTGTTAGTGGAGTAGTAGGGTTGGCTGGAGTAGATATTGGGGTAGCTATTGGTGGAGTAGTACGCTTAGCTCTTGGTGAACTTGTGGGCCTGGCAGGAGCAGATTTCGGGGTGGCTATCAGTGGGGTAGTAGGGTTGGCTGGAGCAGATATTGGCGTGGCTCTCGGTGGAGTAATGGGATTGGTTGGAGCAAATACTAGGGTAGATGTTGGTGGAGTAGTGGATGTGGCTCTTGGTGGAGTAGTCGGCGTGGCTCGTGGTGGAGTAGCGAATGTGGCAGGAACAGATATCGGTGTAGCTATTGGTGGAGTAGTAGGTGCGGCTCTTGGTGGAATAGTGCGCGTAGGCGTGGTCGGAGCAGATATTGGGGTGGTTGTTGGTGGAGTAGTGGGTGCGGCAGGTACAAGCCGAGGAGCAAGAGAGGTGGAGGCAACAGAGACAGTTATAACCAATTTCATGCCTAGGTCACAATGCCCTGCAAATGTACAAACGTAATAGTGTGTTCCACCAGAGTTTAATACAATGTTTGTTGGTCCATTAGTTGATATGGAAATTGGACTTGCGTTGTTACATGAATCAAAATCGGCCTTGGATACTTCGGCAACATTGTGTGCTCCAGTCACAAAGTTAAAAGCTGTTTAAAAACAAGAATTACATTAATAATATAATTATTACTAAAAAAAGGAAAATATCCAAATTCACACTTTTTAGTATACGAAGCGTCTTATTTTTATCCTTCGTTGTGTTTTTGGGTTATTCATACTCTTGTTGTCAGCAAATTATCTCATGCTTAACCTTGAGCTTGATGGAGTTCCAGCATGAAATGGACGAATTCTACATGTCCAAATATTTCAGGAAACTACCCAAATTTATCTATTTGCTTTTGACTATGGAGTATTATAGCCTGGTTGGCCAAGCTTCTTTTGAGGCAAAAAGTTTTCTTTTTTTTTTGTATGTGTGTGTGTCAAAAGTACTTTTTTCTAAAATTAAGGTGTTTGGTCAAGCTTTTGAAGGGAAAAAGTGCTTTTGAGCAAAAGCAGAAACAGTTTTGGAGAAGCAGAAAAAAGTAGCTTATCTCTAAAAGTACTCTTTTGAAAAACACTTTTGAGAAAAATACACTTAGAACCAGTTTTTAAAAGCTTGGTCAAACACTAATTTCTGCCCAGAAGTGCTTTTCAAATTAATTAGCCAAACACAAACTGAAAAGTACTATTGAAAAAAATATTTCTCAAGATAAGCTAATTTTTGTAGTTTGGACAAACGGGCTATTATTAGGGTCAAGGGCAAAGTACAGACAATTTACTAACAGTAAAGTGTGAATGGATCCAAAGTATAACTAATGATAAAATTAAAATATTTCGTAAGCTGAGAATATTTCAAATCATTTTTCAACAACAAAAAAAATCGTTTTATGTGACACTATTACTATTTTGAGCATTACCAAGAGTGTCGCCGACCGAGAAGATTTTCGGGGCAGCCCAGGTGGAATAAGCGGTGGCTCCGCCAGGAGGTACAGTCCAACCCAAGGCATCACCTACTACATAAGTATTTTGTGCCATTGAAATATTGAACAAAGCAGCTGCTACTACTAACATAGCCAAATTCAACTTTCTTGACATTCTGCTTTTTGTGTTACTAGAGAACTAGATCCTCTCTCTCTCTCTAAATCTTTAGCTTTCTCTCTCTATATGTATAGTATATCTTTGTGTTTTTTATGAAGGAAAAAAGCTCAAATTGGAGTCATGAGGTTGGCTATGATCTTTCTATATATATAAGCAGCAGAGCAAGGCAGTTCTTGGGGCATTTAATTTTTGAAAGACCAAAGTCAGCTATTTTATGCATGACACGTGGCTAAGATCACTGCTAAAAATCCGGAAAAAAGCGACCAAAAGTTGGCGACCAAAATTGGTCTGTCAAGAAAAGCGACCAACGTTGGTCGCTATATTGGTCAAAGAAATACTAAAATTAGCGACCAACTTTGGTCGCTAAAGTGGGACCCACTAATAAAATTTTAATAATTATATTATTATTTAAAAAAATCATAAAATATAAATAAATGTAATTCAAAATTAGGGACCAAAGTTGGTCTCTCACGAAAGGGGAAGTAGATAGAGACCAACTTTGGTCGCTAATCTGAGACCCATTTATAAAATTTAATAATATTTATTATTTAAAAAAAT